GGTGCTGTCTACTGAAATACTAGAGGGAAAGTTGATCTGATCGGAAAAAGTTTGGCGCTTATTACAGTGACTCTGGCACCAAGCAGATGCAGAGACGCACAGAACCCACTGAACCGGAGCAGAACCCAACCTTCAGACCCATCGGTGACTCTTGAGAGATGGTAGCCAGCCCACGAGGATTTCCGAGATGGAAACGCACCACCAAAGGTCTGGTGCTCCATCCAGAGCCCACCGCCACCGCTAGTGAGTAAAATTTAGTAGCTACATATAAGTATGTTGTTAAAAATTTAGGTTCAAGAGTTTAGAACAGTGATTGTGGGCTTCATCGCTGCAGGGCAGGTCTGCAGAAACTGAACCGAGTCAGACCGGAACAGAGTCTGACCGGTACAGAGCCGCTCCTGTTCTGCAGATCTAGTAAGTAAAATTTAGTAGCTACATACACAGTACTGTATGTATGTTGTTAAAATGAAGTAGGTTTAAGAGTTTAGAACATTGCAGGAGTGCGACAAGAGTTTATAAAACCTTAAAACGTATATACAGTAGTCTCTCGTTTATCGAAGGGGGATCCGTACCCTGAAGACCCGCGATAAGTGAAAAACCACGAAGTAGGAACAATAGTACAAGTAGCAGTTAATTTTATTATATATATATATATAGGCATTTTAAACCCTTCCCACACTCTTGCAATGTTCTAAACAATGTTTCTAAAAGCTCTAAAAGAGCACAGAATGTCATGATTTCAGCTCTCTGCCTCTGCTCTTTACAACCTGCAAGCGCTCTTGGCCACGCCCACTTCTCTCTCTGCACGGAGAACAGCTGATCAGCTGCAGCAGGAAGTTTATCCCGCAGCAGTAAGGGCTGCACAAAGCTGCAGGAGGAAACTTTTTCTGCAGTGTGGGCTGCACAAATGTGCAGCAGGTGCTAAATAATTTAAAATAATTTTATTTTAAATAAAAATTCCATGCCGATCGTGCGTCTCATCCATCAATCAGCCAGTTGTGTGCCATGTCCAATCTTATTATTTGCCGTACCGTTACCGGGCAATCAGCTTTTCCTGTAAAGGCTACTAATCAGTGGAACACACAACCTGATGATGTGAGGAGCTGCAGCTTTTTGAGAGTTTTCAAATTTAACTTGAAAAAACTGTTAAACTGCTATGCAAACATTAACTGTAAGACCGTGTGTGTGCCAATGACCGAGTCTGTACGTGTGTTTGTGTATTGTGATTTGAAAGCATTTTATAGTGTTAAATTTTCTATCCTATTTTATTATTGCATTGTATATCAATTGTTTGGTTTTTTTAACTTGTCAAGAGACTGCAGATGCGAATTAGCTTTAGCAATAATCTGGTACAGCGCATCAAAGGGCGACATCCATGTTTGAATTGTGCATTGTCCCTTTTTAAATAAAGTTCAATCATTCATTTATTTTTGAAAACCGGCGACACAGCGAATCCGCAATAAACGAACCGCAAAGTAGTGAGGGACTACCGTAAATACTAAAATAAATATTACGTTGCTGGATTTTTACTTATTGCGAGGGGGTTGGAAACTAACACCAGCAATAAACGAGGGACTACTGTATTTGTCTTCCTACTGAATACTGGATACTAAGTCCTGGAAAAAGTATTCCTCTTCTATACAAATGTAAACAACAAAAGGCATTACAGTATATAATTTACAGATTCAAAAGATTCTTGGAGGCAAATTTGTGAAATGAGGTTACATAATCAAACTAAATGAACATGACTGAAGTTCAACTCAGCTTTATAAGATGCTTCTTCTGTCCCTGTCAGCTGTGTTTTCTGTGGTGGCACACTGTCGTGCTTCAGATCTAAAGCTCTGCTCACTACCTGCTCAGCAGCATCCAGCAGACGGACTCTGTTTGCCGAAGAGTCAAAGTTTCCTCAAGAGGGACTAGAACGTACCAGAAACACATCTGCAAATGAGCCATAATGTGGCATTGTGTCTGCCGGATGTGTAAATAGGAAGCTGCAGCGATACCCACCTGAGCTTTGCTTCCAGCTCATGCAGCTTTACCCCAAGTTGCTAACGCATTGTTATTTCTGCTCATTATAACAAGGTCATTATAAGAAATCCTCTCAGTGGAAGAGCGCGGCTCCGCTGCAACATTAAATGAATCCCCTGCAGTCCTGTAAACTTATGCAAACAGTCTTGTTACATTGTGTTCTCCTAAACCATAAACCTTCTGGTGTAAGTGGGCTGGTTAAATGTAAGTAAAGCTACGTCTTTAAGTGTCCACGACTAGAGGGTGATAATTTCAAATAAATCCAGCGAGTAGATTTAAGTAATGGACTATATTTGATCTCAAATTTGGTTTTAAAAGCACCAAATCGAATCAAATTTATTTGTATTGCACATTTAAAAGCAACTGTCCTTGGCCAAAGTGCTGCACACAAAACATTTAGTGAAAAGACAATGTCCAACACAAGAGACGACAAAATCGAAGACATAGGTGATGTTAGTACGAGTGCCTGAATCACTTGTTTAACAGGAAAAACAAAATTATGACAAATAAGTGCCATTCTTGTAATATAAAATCTTTGTATTCAATATGTTTACAATGTAAACCTGCTAAGTTTTGCTGCTAGATTTTTTTTAAAGTTTGTCTTGTATAATGGCTAAATCTTAATAGAATATAAAAAAGGGAAAAATAAAAAGTTAACTTTAAAGGATGATTGTTCCAGTGTTTTATATCTACGAACTGAAAGTGTGTGTTTTGTGTCATCATTTTATGTTTCTATACAAAGACGAAATTAGTTCTCTGCATTTAACCCACCACAGCTGACATACACCCAGGTGGAGCAGTGGGCAGCTATGCAAGCACCCGGGGAGCAATTAAGGATTGGGTGTCTTGCTCAAGGAAACCATGACATGTGGGCAAGGCAGGGAGTTGAACCTGCGACTTTCTGGTCACAAGTTGGCTGTCCTAAATAAATAATTTAAAAAAATAAAAAGGTTTAAGAAATTTATTCAATAAACATGAAGGTTATGAGGGGGTCCATGAAACTTTTTCGCCCCTGTAAGGGGTCCCTGAATCCAAACAGTTTGAGAACCCCTGATCCACAGCGTCTTCAGTCAACCTTTATTTATGCAGGTTAGTCTTGGCCCCGAACACCAAATAACATGACACAAGTTTTTGTGTAGGCATGTGAGCAAATGAGTGAATGTACGCCTGGAAATGTCCATTCAGCTGTGTGTGTGTGTGTGTGTGTCCTTGTTTATGCTACTTTGTGAGGCCCATTTTTCCAACTTATACTGCACTGTGAGGACCAACTGCTCCTTATGGGGCCCAAAGCCCGGGCCCCATAAGAAGAAGTCCCGTTGGTGGGTTAGGGGCTAGGTTTAGGACTAAGGTGTGAATTGAGGATGTGTTAGGTTTAGGGTTAGGTATGTACTGGTAATGGTTAGGTTATGGATAAAGGTCATGGTTAGGCTATAGAAATGAATGAAAAATGAATGGAAGTCAATGCTAAGGCCCCATAAAGATAGCAAAACAAACCTGCGTGTGTGTGTGTGTGTGTTTGTTTGTTTTCATACATATGTGATGATTTAGTGTGAACCTCACATAACCAGTGCAGCAGCTGGAATAATCTGGCTCATCTGAGCTCGTGTACAGCTTTATGTCTGTTAGTGAGGTCGGCTTCACAAAGAGCAAGAAACACAAACAAGTTGGACAAGACGATACAAATAATGTGTTTGTAAGAATAACTCAATGTTTTATGGAGGGTAGACGCAGCTTTCTGTTCCTCTAATTCAAAATTTGGCCAACTTTTCCACTTATTTTCTGTATTTTGAGTCTGTTATTTTAAATTGTTTAGATATGCTGTCTGTAGATTATGTATTGTGTAATTATTTAGGGTGGAAAAATGTGTCATGACGGTGTGTGTGTGTGTTGGGTTGTTATGGAGGATCATTAGCTGAGAATCACATAAAATAATAAGACTGAATCAGGTTTAAATTTCCACTTCACTTTCTTTCAACACAAACCTCTAATAAACTCTGACAAACTCAATTAAACCTTTCCGAGCACCGAGGAAGATGAGTAAATCAAATCTCAATATAGGAGCTGAACTAACTCCAGCTGTGATTAAAAACATTAATATGCTTGACGTTTTATGGAATAATGTAAAACTTCTGATTCAGAGCTGGTTCAAGGACTATCCTGTATCTGGAAAAAGTTAGGGAGCTGTAAAATGTACAGGAAAATAGAATGCAATAATCTGTGCGTTCACTCTGGGGAGGATACCATCATGTGACAGGAAGTGGCTTTAACTGGATGCTTCAGTGCAGAAGTAGGTTCACATTCGCTTCACGGCTGAAATCCTCCCTGTGCTACAGCATGAGCGGCGGCTTGAGCTCAGTGATTGATTGCTGCGGTGCACGGATGTGGAGACGTGTGGCAAAGCAAAGTGCTGACAAGTTCAAGCACGGCCAATTCTTCCTCAATCAGGAAAACGGCGACTGTGGCCACCATCAATCACAGCTCGAGAAACACGGACGGATTTGTGACCGGCAGCTTCTCGACGTGTATACGGCGCGAACGCACGGTACGAACGGCTGTTGTTGACGCTGTGGTTGTGGTTGCAGCGCTCACGTTTACAACACTCGTTAAAAAAAAAAAAAAAATCACAACGGGGCGTTCACGTCCTCAGAACAACAGTCAGAAACTCGGGTGGTAGAAAAGTGTCCGATCGTTGCGTCGCTGCAGAAGTAAAGAGCGACGCTGCTGCAAGCAAAAGGTTCAGTTATGGCCCTAGGTTCCTTTTTAAGATCCAGAAAAAACCCTGCTTTTATTCTGAAAAATGCTCAACAGTTCAAAGTCGATTTGTTTCTTCAGACACAGTCAGTGTGTCTGATTTCCCCAGAGAAACAAAGCTGACAGTTTTTCTGTCCTTGCCAGTCACGGCAATCCTCTCGAATGTCCTTAATCTTGGATTTGTTCAGCACCTTCACAAGAAACTTCCATCTGAAAATGCTTGTTCAATGGCTAAAAAAAGTCTCTGGGTAAAAGACACAGCCACCTGTTGAGCAGCAAGGTAAAAATATATCCCGGTGCGATCTGTGGCTTTGATTCAGGTGTGCACGTTTGAGTTTTCACTCATACGTGAATTAAATATTAATGCCAGATTGCATTTCTTCCTGTGTTTGTGTCTGTGTGCATGTGTCACACTGTTTCCTCCAAGCAGAGCGCTTCCACGGCGTTACTGGGTCCCTGGGCAACTCCTCCGATCACAAACAGCATGCTGCTCGTCTGCAGCGGCGCAGAGGAGCAGCGAGCAGTGGGCATGGGCGCCACGTACTCCCAGCGCCGCTTCCCCGGGTGGTAGCTCTCCACTGAGCCCAAAGGCGACGGCTCATTACCTGCAACACGGAGAACGGAAAGTCAGGATTACAGCTTTGAATTTAAATAAAAGCCTCGTTCAGATGGAGCGGTAAATGTATCTGAAAGGATAAAATGAAATTAATTTACAGAGTTCTTGTCCCAGATAGGGCATACTGTAGATAAAACCAGAGAGTTGAAAGTTTTTCTTATTTTTCAGGGATCAGGTTGTTCCACTGGTGACTTATGTCAGACTGTTCAACTCTTCCCATACAGTAAAAATCTACATCACCCTGTACACTTATGTATGTGTGTATCAGAGTCAGAGTTTCTTTATTGTCATTCATTTATTGTGATTTTCCACAGTGATAATTCTGGTCAGAGCTTCATGAGTCTAATAGCCTCAGGGTAGAAGCTGTTCCTCAGTCTAGTGGTTCTACACTTAATGCTCCTCAACCTCCTTCCTGAGGGGAGCGAGGCAAAAAGTTTGTGTGCTGGGTGAGTGGGGTCCTTCATGATGCAGGTGGCCCTCTTCCTGCATCTGGAGGTGTAGATGTCTGTGATGGTGGGGAGCCTGACTCCAACATCTTCTGTGCAGCCTTCACCTTGTATATGTGTATATATGTGTGTGTATGTACATGTATATATGCATATGTATGTGCATAATGCTTAGATGTGTATGTATGTATAATCATATTTTCTGGCATGCAAGTCACAGTTTTTTGCAAAGATTTGTCAGTCCTGCGACTTATTATTATTATTTTTTCCGTATTCATAATGCAATTTTGGACTGACGCTTTAAATTTCGAAGAACTGCAATAGCGAGTCGTCCTGTGCGCGCTCTCTTCCCTCAGCTGGTGCAGGTGGAGGAACGCTGGAGCGCGTGCAACTCTGGCCACGATAGATGGATGGATGGATAGTGCTGCGCAGCCAAGGTAAAATGAAGCTGTTTTGACCATTAAATAAATTCATAATAAATGCGACTTACACACCGAAGTGACGTGTGTTTTTTTTTCCTTTTGATGTTTTTTTTTTTGACTGATGTGACTTATACGCCAAAAAATACGGTACAAATATATAGGTTAATCATGAATGCAGTACTCTCTACCACCTTGTGAATGTGCGTTTTTTGTCTTTTTCAAATTTGTGTATTCTGCTTCTATTTCATTATTCATGTGTATTTTTTGTATAAGTAGTGAATGCTACTGGATGCCTAGAATTTCTCCCCTGGGATTAATAAAGTATCTAATAATAATAAAGGGTTGTCATCATTGTATGTTCCCATACGAAGATGAAATTGGCTCTCTGCATCATTGCACCTGGGATACACCCAGGTTTAAGCGCCCGGGGGGCAATTCGGGACTGGGTGTCCTGCTCAGAGACACCTCGAGTCCTGGGTCAGCTGCCCTGCCCCTACACAATACTTTATATAATAAAGCTTGCAAAGCCACTTTAAACTTGACACTTAATAAAACTTCTTTAATACAATTCTTAGAAAAAAAAAGGCGTTTCAAGCTGGCACCAAACTCTACGGGGCACAAAGAAGACTGCTGCAGAAAAGCAGCATGCTGACGTCTGAGGACACCCATGCATGTAACTCAGTTTCAAATGCAGCACAACATGTTGGTGTTCCATCACTTGTTGCACCATCAACGCCTGAAAGCAAAAGTGACACGCTTCGCCTCTGAGGCAGGAGGGACACACACAGGAATGATTTGCCTCAGCCAGACGAGCACTAAAGCTGGTAAGAATAACACAACTTGGCAACAAATTCCTGTGAGTCATCCTCTGAATATCTCTCACACACGTTCAGATACACACATTAAGTGTAGTGGAAATTCAATTAAAGTTAGATAATGTACACACAAAAGTAGTTACACACACAACACAATGTCTGTTTAAACAGTTTTTGGTGCTTTATTGTGAACAACAGAACATTCGACAGTTTGTACTTTAAAGTTTAAACTTTTATTTTGAACACTACAGTACTTTTAAATTAGACAAAATATATATACACTAATATTTGTTGTACAATTTTATGTAAACCAGTTCTATAAGAAGGTGAGTGAGGGATGGATCTGTTGGGTAATATTTCACTGGGCTGCAGGTGATGGGAGAATGGTCAGTGATTCAGAATTGTTGTGATTTAAAAAAAGTAAATTACCATAATTTCCAGACTAATGAGCGCACCCGACTACAATACAGTAAATAAACAATTCTGTGCAAATATAGGGTGCACTTGTGTATAAGCTGTGGGTGTCCATGTTGTAACGTGAGATATTTACACAAAGATTTTTAAAAAACTTTTAATTAAATTTGTACCGGTAACTTACAGAACTGCGTACAACAAATGTTTTTTTTTCTGAACAGTGCCTGTAACACGGCTGGTAAAAATAAATAAATAAATACAGTAGCCTATCAGGAAGTCATCGATCGCTGTGTTTCTGAGATGCCTTTTCATCTCATAAATCTGAGACGCCACGATGGTCCACCTCTAAAATCTTTTATCTTTTTGTCCGTCTGCTCTGTGTGTGTTCACCTCAGTCTCCAAGAACGTTTTCAAGTTTGTGTTTTAATACCTCTGAAAGTTTTTGTTGTCTTTTTGCATTGATTCAGTTCTTCACCGTCTCCAACGTCTCCCCATCCATTCAGTGACGCCAAGTTTACGTGCAGCAGCTCTATTTCCTTCTTTGACAGATCGATCGTCTTTAATTCGAAGTTTCGTTGGTCTTTTTTTAACCTTTATTTATACAGGTAGTCTCACTGAGTCATGAGGACCCACCCCATAAGAGAGACGTGTATTGGGCAGCTATGTGAGCCCCCGGGTGTGACAAAGCTAAATGTTTTGGCGGCATGTAGCTCGTTAGCTTATCAAAAAAAAAATCTATAAATTAGCCGTAGCATTGTTTAAGCCGCGGGGTTCAAAGTGTGTCAAAAAAGTAGCGGCTTATAGTCCAGACATTACAGTAGGTCAATTTTGCAAATACAAATGTTTGTGACCAAATTTGGGACTGGGACTGTTCAGACAGCTTACTGCCGCGGGTAAGATACTGACTGCCGATAACGACTCCACATAACCCCACTTTGTGAAGTCCAAAGTATAAAAAAAAACCCAGAAAAGCCTGAACAACAAAACTAAAACAACAAAAAAGGCTCCAGGCTTTTAGAGTTTCATTAAAAACTTGAAGTGCAACATGTGAAGCCTCAACAAAAACTGTTTTCCTCTTCTAAAGGTCTGCTGTAATCATCTCCCTTTTTTCTCTTTCCCCATTCTCTTTCTTCTCAGGTGCACTATGCGCTGTTATTATACATCCGGCCGGCCTAAGTTATTGCAGTTTCCATAGAGACCTACATCACAGCAAGTCCTTCAATTAAATGGACCTGGGAGTGCGTGCACGTGTCTGTCAAAGGAAGACCATAATCATCATTTTGTTGGAAGAACAAAGTGGCAGCGCAGCATCGGCCACAATAAAGTATTCCAGACTCGCTCAGCCATCGTCTCCTTTATAATTGTTTATGAAGACACACACACACACACACACAGGTTTGTTTTGCTATCTTTATGGGGCCTTTGCATTGACTTCCATTCATTTTTCATTCATGTCTATAGCCTAACCATGACCTTTATCCATAACCTAACCATTACCAGTACATACCTAACCCTAAACCTAACACATCCTCAATTCACACCTTAGTCCTAAACCTAGCCCCTAACCCACCAACGGGACTTCTTCTTATGGGGCCCGGGCTTTGGGCCCCATAAGGAGCAGTTGGTCCTCACAATGCAGTATAAGTTGGAAAAATGGGCCTCACAAAGTAGCATAAACAAGGACGCACACGCGCGCGCGCGTGCACACACACACACACACACACACACCATTGGCTGTTCAAAGGCGCCCAGTCGCTGCTTTGATTCCCAACTCAGACGTCACATGAACTCAACAGCTGCTCCTCCTTCTTTTGACCTCCATTCCTCGTCCTCTTCTTGATTGATATTTTCCACAGCCCCTCGCTTTTCATTTCATAATTTATTTAGTATATTATTGTATTTATATTCTAATGTTAGAAGTACTTTTTAAAATTGTTACCCTGATCAGCCTGCTGCTCACTTACCTTCATTTATTCTTGTTTTCCTCTTTATTAGTCCTCCCATTCTCAATTTTCCTGACCTATTTTGACGTTTTCCCCCAGTGCTTTCCACCAAAATAGTATTTTATTCTGACATTTATCCTCATTTCAGACATTGTTCCCGATGTTTCATTATTTCTACCCCCGTCCTTTCTTCATGTGGACTTGTTGTCACATAAAATAAATAACCTTCATATGCAGTAAATGTTGTTTGGTCCAGCACAGCTGACCTTTACTTTTAATATTTTGTAGAAAGAATTGTTTTCTCAATCCATTGAAGTATAAATTTAAATCTCTCCTTTTTTTTTTTAGTTCCTCGGAAACTAAAGTCTTGGATGAATAAATTTCTTATTCATGCACAATAAAAAAAATAAAAATTAAAAAATCAATCAACTTCTATAAAATCCTATATTTTCAAACTCAGCCTTTTAATAACGGCATAAAAAGAAGCTTGTTGATCTGTTGTTTAATTGGTGATTATTGATTTTGGACTTTGTTGCTTTGCAGACTCGTATGTATTTTTAAATCTTTGTCATAAAAGTATTAGCCGGTGAAATAATTAAAGTTGACTGTAATTAAACTTTCATATGAAACTGCTGTTTGTACAATCAATGTGCAGGAAGAGATCATGTATGTTCATGTAAATGTGCTGGTTAAACAAAGACGCAAAGGAAAAAATATATATTTTGAATGTACACCCAAGAATTGCATTTTAACAAAATGTAAAATCGTATTTTATACATTAAATGCAGACATAATAGCAAATCTATTATTATAAGATAATTATAATAATATTATATTATATTATTATATTCTAATATAACTTTTTTGTCTGTCTAAACAGGTCTCACTTGTAAATGAGCCCCCGAGGCTCAGTGTGATTAATCTGTAAAAGTAAAGGTTGAATGAAAATTTATTTATTATTATTATTATTATTGGTTTCTCAGATCACACCAGTGGTTGGTTTTCCAATTATCTCTCAAATCAGAGGCAATGTGTTCAACATAACAGTTATCTGACTGTTAACAACGGTGTACCACAAGGTTCAGTCTTGGGACCCACCCTCTTCACAATCTACATAAGTAATGTAGGTCAGTTCTCTACATAAATAATATAGGTCAGTTCATTCCTGATGCATCCTTACATTTCTATGCTGACGACACTGTTGTTTATTGTCGAGCTACAACAATTCACCACACCACATGCAGTGTTTCCCCTAAATCGCTTGACAGGGCGGGGGGAGGAGGTGGAGACATCTCTGTGTTGCACGCTAGTTTTGCGCCACGTTAGTGCCGGCAATTGTTGACTGTGGTGGGGTGGTTGGGATGCGTGACAGAGGCGGAACGCTACGTCTGTAGCATCTTAACTAGTGTGTCTGTATTGCGATCCACTAGCTTAGTGCTATGTGAGTGCCGGCAGTTGTCAACTGGTGTTGGGGGGAGCATTGTGGTAAATGTAAATATTTAAAAACCCATTTAAATACACCATAATGCAGGAAATGGCACCTACTTTATTCAAAAATGTCTGGGGTAGGACCCCCAGACTAGAGTTGCACTCGGGTCCGAGAAATCTGACCCGACCCAGCCCCATCCCGTAGCTATAATTTCCGAACCCCACCTGATCTGACGAATTAACAGTAATTACAGGTCCAAACCCCAAAACCCCCTGACATTTTTTATTAATCTTTGACTGCTTATACCTCCGACTATTATTAACGGTTGGCGGACGTATGTGTCTGAATAAAGGGGGCAGAAGATCGGAGCTGAGGAGACGTTAAAGCGCATTAAATGCTTCCCCTGCTTCTGCCTGCATTGGCCGCTGCTCTGACATGTTGGATATTTTGTGATCTGACCTGTTTGGGTCATCGGTCGTGCACATCCGCTGAATGAACGTCCATTTGGGCTGATGGATCGCTGGTAGTAGTCCATCTGAAGCTTAACTGAACTTTTGACCTCTTTCAAGGCCGGTCAGTGCGGGGCCAAATGCGGCAGGTGAAAGTATGGCAAGCCATGTAGGCATTTAATTGGATTGTCGGCCACGCATGTCCGCTGATGCAATCAAAAGCCCGACACTGACCCGACCCGTACATTAAGCACATTATTATGGCCCGGTCTGAGTGTCCGGGTCGGGAGGGGCCGGGCTCTGGGTTTAGGTTCAAAATGACAGCTCTACCCCAGCCAGTGCTTCTGAAACCAATGGCCTGGACCATCACAGACCTCCTCCCACTCACTGCTGCATTTTAATAGCTTCAATCTCTCTGACTAAATTATTTAGCTAGAACACAGATAACTCTTGTGTCAAACAAAGTACATTTTGGAAATGCTAACATAACAAAAAAAAAACATCTAGGTAGTATATGGGGCATAATAAACTTCTGACATACGTAGTATTTTATTCTAAATTACCATCAACTCCAGTCTGTTCCACATTCAACAGCCTGTCAGGCTGTGATTCATGGACTCTTGTATCTGTGTTATAAGCCAGCCTGGGCATGATGACCTGTCAGTCACTGTCACTCTGAATTAACACAGGATGACAGATCGACTCTGATGTTAGCCACTGATGCAGACTGTCAACAAGTTCAGAGCGCAAAGATCTACTTGGCGACAAGAGAAAAAAAGTTCACGGATATTTCTGCTTCTCGTCTGGTCATTTATGACTGAAGCTTCGTTTCGAGCGCGCAAGAAATAAGAAACACGATAAAGTTCCGTTTGTTGGTTTTTAAATTACTTTTCATGGCTGTGATCAGATGATACTTTAACTTATTTACTCTAATTTCACACGAGTTAAAGCTGCTCATGCAATCTCAGAGCCTTCTAAGCCACTGGGAGAACATCAGCATGCCATCTCACAACCGTTATTGATTTTCTTTTTCATTCGTTTTTTACCTTCAGTGGAGGCAAATGTAATAAAAGGCTATGAACATCAGTATTTTATTAGTATATTAATGCTTTTTCATGTGATCCAGTATTATAAAGCTATTGGATGCTGTTATAAAGTAAATTCATGATAGCTCATGTTAATCAGCGTTAGACGAGGGTGGAGGGATTATCGTTGAATAAAAGCTATTGGTGTTTTTAATTATGCACAAATCAGCAAAAAAGTCATGACCATCTGCCTGACATTAAACAATATGACTCTGTTAAAACTCAATTTTTTGGAGCTAACACGCACGATTCCTAAAAACATGCATGATAGGCTGCCTTCAGACCAAGGCCTCCCTCTTCAAAAACTTCTGTGATCTCAGTGGGATTCTCCTGGTTAAATAAAAGTACCGTATTTTTTGCTGTATAGGTTGCACCTTTTTTTGCATAAATTTGCAAGTCCTGCGACTTATACACCGAAACGACTAAAACGTTTTCCCCCCGGTATTTATAATTCAATTTTTGGCTGAGCTCTGATGATTTCATTCATTCTGACATGGAAAATATTGAACACTACCATTTTCAGCCACTAGAGGGCGCTCGCTCAATTAATATGGTAAGCCAGGTGGCACATTAATAGGTTAAAGTGGCTATTAATGAGACACTTTGCTTGCCACAGACAACCTCCTTCGTCTTGCTCTGGAACTCCTGGAGCAAATGTCAAATCAGCTATATTTAGACACGCCGCCCAGGCGAAATGCAGCTGATTTGACCATTAAAGTGACACACCTTTACTATAATGTTGAGCAATCAAATAATTGTTTTTATGTGGTTATCTTGGTAAATTTCCATGAAATGCACAGCGAGTCCTCCCTCTGTGCACTCCCGCAAATCGATTTTTGAAATGCAGCTGATTTGACCGTCAAAGTGCATTTATTAAGGAAATGTTAAATTGAGACACACCTTTGCTATAATTTTGAGAAAACAAATAATCGGTTTTAAGTGTTAATCCGTTAAATTCTTGTAAAGTCCTCCCGTGCACACTCCTGCGGCCGCCATTTGGCAGCCAATCGATTTTTGGCACAACACCGGCCCACGTTACTGGGTTGTCAGCGGTGACACATAATAGATGTGACTTATATGGCGAAGCGACATATTTATGGATCTTTCCACTTTATTAGACATATTTGGACTGATGCGACTTATACAGCGGAAAATACGGTATGTCCATCTTCCCAGCTGATTCAAAAGGCCCCAAAATGAAGAAAACATGAAATAAAACCAGAAACGGGAACAGTCATACAACACTCAGTTCATTATTGAAGTGACCAGGCTTTCTGCATCTCCGCTCAGAGGACAAAAAGAAAATGACAAAGACTTAAAAAAAGCTGCTCACCTAGACCCCCAGCTACGATGACCCGTCCTCCCAGGCATCCAGCTACAAAGTCGGCCCTTTTCTCTCTCATCCTGGATGTTCGGCTTGGTTTGATCCAAACACCTGCCAAAGATGAAGAGATGCTGTCAGTCATGAAGACTGTTCCAAGATTCTGTAGTAACGTAGATGTACAAAGATGTATAAGTTTAATGTTTTTTAGATTTTGTTTTGTCAGCACTTAATTGAAACCAGACACTTGCTCATATTTAACAAGACTAAAAATAATGTTCGACACTAATGCTGGGTCAGAATTGTTGTTGAGAATTTTCCGTAAACGTTTCATTTATTCCGACATAAACCGATTTTGTCTCTGAAGAACGAAACATGACCTGAATCTCTCGAGACAGAGGCTAGCTCTGCTTTGCGTTGCAAGCACGCTACCAACGTGAATATACTTTCGCAATCTTTTTATTGTTGATGCAGTGAAGTCGTAGCTGTCTTATGGTGTTTCTCTGAGTCTTTGGACAAAAAGAATTAGAAATATCTAAAGAGATGACGGCTAAACAGAGGGAGACAGCGGAAGCCATGAGGTAAATAAAGAGGGGGGAAATGCAATATGAAGAAGACCTGCCCTGTAACTCCACAGCCCTATGCTCCTTTTCCTCGAAACCCCAAACAGATTAAATTTCTATATTTGGTGCCGTGACATGAGGTGACGCATCCCATTCCAGCCGCTCTAATTCTCTTTGCTAAGAGACTTGGAGAGAGAGAGAGAGAGAGCTGCAAATGTACACACGCTGTATGCAATAAAACACATGAACTAATCTTATTAAAGTATTTTATAATGAACTGTGTTGATTGATGACAAGGCTGTAGTTTGTCTTTTTTTTCCACTCAGATATTAATGACATGAACATTTACTTCACACCCGTTTGAAGTAAAAAAAAAAAAAAGGGACCTCCTAACGTATTACTGCTTATTTTGGTCAAACGTGGGAATAAATTAGACTAAAATTGTATTCCAATATTTTTGTTTTAGCTTAAGGATCTTACAAATGGAGGTGGGCTTCATGCTCCTTGTGGACCTCAGGATAAATTGTCCCATAGAGCTCAGGAAAAAAGGACTACTTGTCTTATAAAAGCTGAAGTATTTTGAAGAGCAGTCTGAGTGGACACCAAAACAACCTTAAACTGAAAAAAATACTTTAAAAAGATATAATAAATTCGTAACAATGAATAATTACAGTTTAACGATCAAGATTCAACCCTTATGGTCCAGAAATAGGCCCACGATTTCAAATAATGTATTAAAAATTACATACATTTACCATTTTACATTAATAATAAACTATACATGTGGTATTTGTCACAGTATTTGTAACGACTCCACTTTTTTTGTGTCAAAACATGACAAATTTAAATGTACTGAAAAAATTAAAGCGGTGATATTGCAGCAAAAACCAACAAGTGAGATTGTATTTTTTGGGCGTACCACTGAGCAGACCTCCCATAATCAGACTCTGGTGGTGCGTACTATAATAGAATAATATTTTATCAGCGCGGCAGTCAGAATCATGCCAGCCACAGTCAGTGGGCCAGCTTTAGCCAGAAAATGTGCAGATAATTGCATCAGTCGGGAGCAGCACAGAGTACGACCTTGGCTTAAACTGCATTATGGAGCACAGTAAAGAGACGTCATGAGGTCTTATTTTTAGGTGACACGTTGTATTTACTGTTAGTGGGCTCACCACACTTTTCATGTGACCTTGAAAACAGAGAAGTAAATAAAAGGGTTCATTTTGTGCTTTTCAGCGGCTCAGTTGGACCGCCTCCAGAGGAAGTGGTAAAGGGGCAAAGGTCACCTCAGCTAAATCTAAAAGAGCCGCTGCTCCAGGGAGTGGAAAGTGTTCGTCAAAGAAAGGGTGAATGATTAAAAAAAAAAAAAGTAAACTTTATCTAAAATGCACCAGAAAGCATTTAACTTAATTAATTTAGACTGGTTGTAAAGCTGCTGGAGGATGGAAAATTATTATTAAAGTTTACAACGAAAACAGCAAAACATAAGAGGCAATAAAGTAGTCCCTCGCTACTTCACGGGTCGTTTATCGTGGACTCGCTCCATCGCGGTTTTTCAAATAAGATTTGACATGACACACAATTGGCCTTGAGATCACCATAAAACTGTCTAAAATAATTTATAGGTTTAAAAAGATGAATAAGTTAAAATTGTTGAGAATGTATGGTGCCATGTGAAGGATGTTTGTTTGTAGCTATTTTATATTTTTATTAATAAGGGGCAGATGGTAAAAGATTTTTCTTCTTCTTTCGGCACCCTTTTCATTCAATGTTTTTTTTTTCTTTTTGATGAATTTGTTTTGTTTCTTTTTTTTAAATGAATAAATAAAAATAAATTGGCTGACTGATGGATGAGCCGCACGATCGGCATGGAATTTTTATTTAAAATAATTTATTTTAAATTATTTAGCACCTGCTGCACCTTTGTGCAGCCCACACTGCAGGATAAACTTCCTGCTGCAGCTGATCAGCTGATCATCGTGCAGAGTGGAGAAGTGGGCGTGGCCAAGAGCGCTTGCAGGTGGCTGAGAGCAGCGGAGGCAGAGAGCTGAAATCATGACATTCTGTGTCTTTTACAGTGTTTAGAGTTTAGAAACATTGTTTAGAATATTGCAAGCGTGTGGGAACGGTTTAAAATGCCTCTATCTGTCCGTCCGTCCATCCATCCATCCATCCATCCATCCATCCATCCATCTATCTATCTATCTATCTACTAAAATAGTACTATTCCTACTTCTCGGTTTTTCACATATCGCGGGACTTCTGGATATGGATCCCCTCGATAAATGAGGGACTACTGTTCGTCTCTTTTTCTTTCAGCTGCTCCCTTCTTCATGGGTCGCCACAGCAAACTAACTTGCACGAAAACTTGGCAATTGTTTTTACGCCGGATGCCCTTCCTGATGTAACCGCAGACCACTGAGCTACCACAGCCCTCTGTGTGGAGCAGAGAGCTGCCATCTAGGGCACCTGGGGGAGCAGATGGTGGAGTTTAAGGGCCTTGCTCAAGGGCCCAGCGTGGGGCAAATGAGGGTGGAGACAGGTGTGGGCGTTTCACCTTTCCCACCAACATTTTGATGTTGTTCCTGGGAGTTGAACCGGTGACCTTTAGATCACAGGCCCACCTTCTCTCACTGACAAACTGTCCATAATTTTCTTCTATACATCACTACCCTGGAGAATTAACAGAAAACATCCTATTGTTTGGGAAATTCCACTTTTCTTCACTCCTGCTTTTGCGTATAAAAAAAAAAAAAAAAAATCCTAAAATGAACAAATTAACACATTTTTAAACGAGGTCCTTCACCTTCCCAAACTCCATCAAATTACAAGACTTGATTTCCTATAAACTGTGAAAAGTCTTGTGAGACACTTTGTCTTCTTCCAAAATGGCACAATCGTGTTTTGGCGCTTGCTGTAGGGAAGTGACGGAGTTGCAGCAGCTAAAAGTGAATCTCTGTGTCAGCGAGGCGCAAGGCAGAGCCACCAGCAGCTCTCTAATAGATATGCTGCTCGCAACAGCTCAGCTACTCAGCCGTGGAAAATGGAGAGGCCAGATAACTTGCAAATACTGCCAAATATGTGTGGAGAGGCGATAGGAGCTGAGCTTTTAAACAAGCATGCAGGCTTGTAGCTCGTGCTCTTCTCTGTGCCGTTTGGAGGGAAATTAGCAGAAAAAGGCTCGACTCGTGAAGGCTCGCCCGCTCAGCTGTCTGCACAAACTTTATTTTTCTTTTATTAAGAATTGGCTTTGATTCTTAGTGGATGTAGGATCAAGATACAATGTAAAACCTTTACCCTGAAGCCTTTAAACACAAGAGAAAACATAAATTAGCCACCCGTTAAGAGCCATCTTGTTTCCTTGGTGTTTGACTGGGGCGGAGCTTGAGATCCAGTTGGAGCTGCTGGTTTAAAGGCGTGTTTTTGTATTTTATTTTAGCGCCACCTGTTCTTTGAATATTTCTTCTAGCTTTGTTTATATTTGCTACATAAATAAAATTAACATTGATAATAAAATTAAATCAAATCTATATAAAAACCCTACCTAACTGAAAAACTTCCCGTGTTTCAAGTTATATACATTTTAATTACCAGCAGCTGAAGACAAAAGGCGATAATGGTCTATGCAAGTATTTGTCTGTAGCGTTAGCAAAAGGTCTTGTGAGCCACTAAATGGATTTTAATAAACTTTTAGAAGGTAATCGATGAATGAACACCTTTAATTGATCAACTACAATTAATCACAATAGAAAAAATGGCTACAACTTAGCCGATTTTGTAAATATTGAGCTAAAACTTGGTGTGGTAGTAGCTGAATTAATCCCCATCACACCCTCTGAGAGCTAACTGATTAGGTAAGAGTGTGTTTAAAACTTTGGAACTATCAGTCAACTCTGTTTGTTAGCAAAATATTTAATGAAACACATGAAACTTTCCAAAAACCAACCACTGCGTGTGCATTTATAACGAACTCAACTCAGTTCAAGATGGCTGCCACAGCCTCCTGAGCTGAGGAAAGACGAATCTGGATACAGTTCAGCCTATTCTATAAATATTTAGCTGAAATTTGTTGTGGTAGTAGCTGAAAGTCATTCATAACACATATTTTGAGTGGGCCATTGCAAAACATAGCCCAAGATTTATATTAACTTTATTTTCAAGGTTTAACCTCCAATCACTTCTCAAAACCAAACTAAAACCAGGGCATGAAAACTTTGGAATATAAGCATTCCTTCAGTAATATGTTTATTTGTTCTTGTTTTTGAATTGTGGCCTAATGGGTCAACTGGTAAAAATTTATTACTACAGAAGTCACTTAATTAATTTCTCTAATGTGCCAATAGGGTTGACCAATAGCAGCTGTTTGATTAGTGGTCAGAGTCAGTTTAACCACAGTTTCACTCAGATCTTCATGCAAGCCTGTAATTCTGTTACCATATTGTTTGGACTATAAGGCGCAATATCAATAAACGGGTCTGTTTTCATTATTATTATTATTATTAAACCTTTATTTTTATATTTTACCAGGAAGAAATCCATTGAGATTAT